AAGTTTTTACCAAACAAAGGAGTAAGTCTATTATTAAGAATGTTATTCCATTTCAGGCCTATTTCGCGAACCAAACGTGCCATAATAATAATAATAATAATAATAATAATAATAATAAACAAAACAAAACAAAATTAGTGCTCGTTCATTGTTTCACTTTCACCGCTTGCCTATCCCACTTCGGATAGAAAAGGGAAGAGGAGCCTCAGGCTCCTTTACTAAAGGAGCTTGAGGCTCTTTGCCTCAAGCTCCTAAAACAAAGTTAATTTTTTAAAAAAACTAATTTTTAGTGGAGGGTGTTTATCCATTCCCAATCTGCCAAGCCTAAATAATGCTAAGCGCAACATTTGAGATTTCAATGATTTGAAGTAAATCGTTGTTCCAATTTGAAGTAAATCGTTGTTCCAAATCACTAAGTTATTAAATGATATTTTTGACGTTTTGACTTGGTCAAAATATCGAAAGTAACGGATCCGCCAACCAATAAGGTTTTTATTTGGTTTAGGGGTTTATTAATTAGGCTTTTATTTGGTTTAGGGGTTTACTAATTATTACTTAAGATTTAGTATTTACGATTTATGTTTAATATATATATTTTTATTGATTTTTTAAAAGTAGGTGATAATTATGAAATCTCATCATATATTTGTTTTAATTTTATACGATCGGTTCGATTTTTACATATAGATGATATGTGTGTGTATTTATTTATTTATTTATTTATTGAGTCCTCACACAAACAAAAGATAAAAATGAATATCAGTACACATATGTAATTTAATGCAAAATACTTTATTTTTTAATAAACGTACTCAATGATTCAATTCACATATTTAAAGAAAGTAATTTTAAAATTCACAATCACTTACTAGTCATAATAATTTATTTCTGACAGCTATACTTATTGTAATCACAAATTATTCATTGACTAAAGCATTTAAGATTTGCCTAATCACAAAATTGTTGAGAGGAAAAGAAAAGAATGGACATAAAAAACAATGCCACAACCAAAACATTACAGAATAGCATTCTGTATTAATTTCAAGTTCACAACACAAATGGAAGATTTGCATTCATATATATTACATGACTGCACTTTTGTCTACTACAAACTGAAACCAGACAGCACCATAACTGCCTTCATTGACTGCAAACTTAAACAAAAAACATAATTGGACTTTGAAAAAAATTTAAAATGACAAATATGAAAGGAAAGGAGAAACCTCTAGAGAAGGATGTTTGCCTTAAGAATTCATCTATGCAGTCCACTTCTACACTGGGTTTATTTATAGGCACTTTATATAAAAGGTAGAGCATATATCTTTCATCCTAAGCCTTCATAAATTCATCTGAACCAAAATAAAATTTGGTTTCAGGTTCATTTTCCATTTCAAAGACTCTAAAACAAATTATGTTTGCATATATGAAATAATTTTTATATAGGATTGACGGAAAAGGAATAATTTAATTTTAAAAGGAAGTTTAAAACAATTAATTGTCATGCAGTCTTTTCACTCTTATTATTACTCAGTGGTGTGGAGTTATGTAATCTGTTGTTATGTGGACTGTGCAATCTGTGTGTGTGAATTGTGCGACGTATTTTGATTTTGGACTGTGCAATCTGTGTGTGAATTGTGCGACGTATTTTGATTTTATTTGTGCTCTGGCCAGCTGGTAGCAATCTATATTAATTTCAAGTTCACAACACAAATAGAAGATTTGCATTCATTAATGCAACATATATATTACATGACTGTACTTTGTCTACTACAAACTGAAACCAGAGATAAGCCATAATTGGCCTTCATTAACTACAAAATGAAGCAAAAAACATAATAGACAGAAAATAGAAACGCTGGGAAGATCAAAAGGTTCTTAAGACTTTCAGGATGAACTTTCGCAAACCTAAGAGCCTGGCCAAGAATCATAACTAAGAACACAAAAACTTGAAATGGATAAAACAAAGTAACACAAAATTTCATCCAAGCTTATAGCTAATACATCAGCCAGATGTAAATGGTGCTGAAATCATCGATCAAAAATGAAGCTAGAGAATGCCGTTTCTCAGCCCGATGAAGGAGATTCACACATCACAATCACACAAGAAAAAACAAATCATCATACAATTATAATTTTAAAAAGAGTTAATACCACAAATGATCTTCTGACTATTGGGATAGTACTCCTTTTAGTCCTCGACTTTTCATTCGACCAAAACACATACCTTAACTTTCATTTTTTTTATTACAAATAGTCATCCGTTATAATTTTTGTCAAATGGGTATTAAATCTAAGGGTAATATCGTCAAATTTAAGTATTGGCACCAATAAAAATAATTTATGCCCTAATTACTCCAAAACTAATAAGAAATAACATGAAATAAAGTCCTAATTGAATTTGCGTAGAACCGTAGATAGGGATGGCAATTCTACCCGCACCCAATGGGTTCCCTGCATCCCCGCCCTTATGAGTTTTAAAATACCCGCACAATTTGGGTATTGGCACCAATAAAAATAATTTATGCCCTAATTACTCCAAAACTAATAAGAAATAACATGAAATAAAGTCCTAATTGAATTTGCGTAGAGCCATAGATAGGGATGGCAATTCTACCCGCACCCAATGGGTTCCCCGCATCCCCGCCTCTATGGGTTTTAAAATACCCACACAATTTGGGTAATGGGTGCGGATATGGGGAAAATTTTATATACCCGCGCGCGTATGTGAGCGGGTGCGGAGGAGGTATCCCCGCCCCGACCCGCACTTATATATATATATATTATTATTAGTATTAATTTATTATATAAATTTATGTATATTTTTATAATTAAAAATGCATAATGAATTAAACTTCTTACCAAAACATGCATAATGAAAAAATTATAATGGAGGACTATTTGTAGTCAAAAATGAAAATTAAGGTATATGTTTTGGTCGAATTGAAAGTTGAGGACTACAAGGAGTACTATCCGGCCCAATAGTCAGAGGAGCATTTGTAGTATTAAAAATATTTTTTTTAAATTATAATTTTACTTTGAAAAAAAAAATAAGAAATATGATGGAAAGGAGAAAGCTCTAGAGAAGGACGTTTGCCTTAAGAATTCATCTATGCAGTCCACTTCTACACTGAATTTATTTATAGGCACTTTAACACTGCCACGCACCTCGAGAGTGAAGTAGTGGCCCTTAGCATACAATTGACGCACCTTAAGTTTTCAACAATTGACGCACCTTAAGCATACAAATCACACACATAAGTTGAAAAGCAACACACCTTAAGAACGAAAACTACGCATCTAAAGTTTTAGGTCGAAACACATTAAATTTCTGGTCGACACACCTTAAGTTTCAACACTGACGCACCTTAAGCACACAAATCACATACCTTAAGAAGGAAAATCACGCACCTTAATCACATAGCACAAAAACAACTCACTTTAAGTACAAAAACTACAAACCTTAGGAAGGAAACCACGCACCTTAAATTTGATCTAGATATACAAATTATCAAATTAGCCCTGCATTTTTTTTAAAAAAATTTTCTTAATTGTATATGTTGATTTAGGCAAAATCAATAGCTCAAATTTAATCGTACAACTGCACCGGACACACCCTACTGATATATATGTATTCTAGAATCTACAAATCTAATAAGAGCGAATAATGTTAGGCCCTTAACTGGAATAAAAAAAATGTCGGTCTTAATTGTTTCTTAAAATGAATGGTTCATATTATTTTGATTTTAGTATATTTTAATGATTTTCCTTATTTACCCTCTATTATATTATTTTCTTCCCTCAAATAACCCTAAATTCCGTTAGTTTAAACTTTAGTAACGGAATATTCCGTTAACTATTTAATATTTATTATAAAATTTAAAATAAACTTTGGTCAAATAATTAGCTCGACTAAATATATAGCATTCAAAGTTGAGCATCAAAGATTATAAATCAGGAACTACTTTAAAATCATTTGATTTTCTTGAATCTTTTATTTTAAAAAAAATAAATTTAGGTTAAGTTTTTTTTTGTTTGTTTGTTTAATTAATCTCCTTCTGATGATTTAGAACAAAACTTAATATTTCAATTATGCTTTTGCATTATTGGAATGATTTAGGCGATTATAGTATTAATATTTTTTGTATTTTTTTTATAATGGTACAATTTTACATTACTTTACAAATATTATACTATTATTTTTTTATATTCACTACATTGTTCATTGTCTTCTTTTTTTTTTTTACATTATCTTGTAATTAAATATCAAAGTTATATATATATATATATATATATATATATATATATATATATATATATTTATTTATTTATTTATTTATTTATTTATTTATTTATTTATTTATCAAGTATTTTATACAAATATAATAAATATTAATAATTTAATATTTTGTTCAATACTTTCACATGATAACCTACGACACATATCTCACAACACATGAAACATGTAGGAAAAAACTACCACTACTAAATATCAATAGGTGTTTGTAAGCTAAAGAGTTCATATTGCAACTAAAATCTCAGTCATATACACACCAAGGCAAATCTAAAATTTCCTACACCATAATCTCATTGCATGATGAATCCCTCTATGCTGCTACCAGTAACATAATTGCACATGACACACTACCAATAAAAAAAAAAAAAAGAGGACATGTACTGAAGATGAAAACAATAACAATGCTACCCAAAAGAGAATTAAGAAGAATTAAAGAAATTTAAACCAAAAGTTGTATTTATTTAGACTATCGCTTTAAGACTAAGTATTTAGACTAACGTTATTACAAAGTTACAAACATTTATTTTAGTGACAATTATAATCAATCTCTCATATATTATCTTGCATTTATATACTTTAAATTACCGATTTAAATAAACAAATTCAACATTTATTTACCTATGCATGAACATCTAGTATATAATATTGTATTGATATACTTTCAAATACTTATTTAAAAATAATTATTTAAAAAAACTAGTCCTTAAAACAAAAACCAAATCTGAAATCCAGTAGACATAGTTCGCCAAGTCCCAAGTTCAGCCCTGCGTGGCTGCGTTCTCCGTCTCCACTCTCCGAAGTCCGACTCCCTTCTCCTCCGGTCCTCCGTCTGCTCCACGGCATCTCCTCCGACCTCCACCGGACCACTGCTCCAGTCTCCTATCTCCACCAGCCCCTCTAGCGAGGGCGGCGAGTCAGTGTCGCCGACTCCACCCCGTCTCCACTGGAACACCGCTCCCACCTCCATCCTGGTGGACTGCCTCACTGTGACTGCATACTGCTGAGGTTTGTTTGATTATTTATTTATATTTATTTCAAGAGTATCAAGACAATAAGACTATCATTTGAAATTGTTAACTTGTTTTGTTGTATGAGTTTTTTTTGGTTGCCAATAATAAAATTCTATTTTTAAAGTTACCACTTTCCAGTATTTAATTTTCTGATTTTCTCAGTTCTATTTTCAGTAGCCAGTATGGGAGATATATGCATATGAGGTGTGTTGCCTATATTGTAAATTTGATTGTGAATGAAGGCTTGAAATTGGTAATGTTAATTCTTATTTATAATTTTTAGGATTTAAAAATTTAGCTAAAAAAACTTTGGCTAATCAATTAACCAAAAAAACTTCTGTTCATTTAATTCGGAAATAAAAAGTTCGATTTGATTAACGGTTAAAGCTTTAAAAATGTAGGTTAATTCGGTTAACCAAATGCACACCTCTAGTTTTTCATATATAATGATAGAAATTGCATGACGTGTCGTTAGCTACGTAGAAAGATGTATGCAAAACTGAAATATGAATGGGTTTGAGGTTAGTTTTCCTCCTGTTTGGGAATGGGTTATTTGATAGTTTCCATTTGAGTGGGTTTGTTTTACTCGCGGTTTGTTGTATTGTTGTTTTCGTTGATTTTGGAGTGCATAATCGAGGTGATATTTCTTGTCTGCTTGAGATTTGGGTATTTTTATTTTTGAAGTAGTATCTAAGCATTTTATTTTTCTTTGAATCTCCCTGCCTCCAGATGTTTTAGCGGTAAGGGCACCAGCGTGCTTGGAAATCGGAATACATGTACTAAGAAATAAGGCGACCAAAAAGATTGAACTTTGCCCTTAACAGAGCATCCAAAAAGTAACTTTGGTTCAAATCACATTCTCTTGGATATTTTGAGCAGTTGAGTTGTCAATAAAAGTGTGAAACTGGTTATAGAGGGGGCTTCTTGAGTGCTTAAGAATATGAAAGATTTGTACCCAATTATATTTCTGTAGCTGCAATTTTGTATTTTGTGAATGGGATTGGTTGGAATTTTGTGTTAGGCTTAAGAGCATGAATGTGCAACAAGTATTGCCATTGAAATCAGCTTCAATTTTGTGTGTATATCGCATTTCGTGCTTTTTTCCTGTTTCTTTCAAGCATGTGAAGAATCCCATTCAATTCAAGATGATGTTATGTGTGCCTAGTGTGGTGCAGCCTAGTAGACTGGGACAACATGACTTTAATTCAGTTGAGAGCTTTGCTGAAGAGAATCTGAGTAGTTCTAGAAATGGAGAGGAAGTATCTTGTGTGTTGTACAATGAGTCCATATGTTGGCTGTGTAAAGAAGGGGATATTGACAAGGCAATGGCAATGCTTGCTGAAATGGAGGCTTTGGGGTTTCACCCAAATGCATTTTCTTATGCTGGTTTGATAACAGCACTTGGAAGTGTTGGGAGGACATTGGAAGCCGATGCAATCTTCAAAGAAATGTTAGTTTCGGGGATTAGGCCAAGAGTAAAGGTATATAATGTCTTACTCAGAAGCTTTTTGAAGAAAGGCCTCTTAAACCTAGCAGATAAAGTCACAGAAGCATTGGATTTGTCGGGTGTTAGGGGAAATAGGGAAACATATAAGATACTTCTTGACTACTATGTTTGTGCAGGGCGGTTGAATGATACTTGGTCTATTATTGCCAAGATGAGAAGTGAGGGTTATGAATTGAATTCTTACGTGTACAGTAAGGTTATTGAGCTTTACAGGGACAACGGGATGTGGAAGAAAGCACTAGCCGTAGTTGGAGAGATTCAGGAGATGGGGCTGCAACTGGACAAGCGGATCTATAATTGCATCATTGATACTTTCGGAAAGTATGGTGAGTTAGGAGAAGCCTTGGAAGTGTTTAAGAAGATGCAACAAGAAGCGATAGAACCTGATATCAGAACATGGAATTTGCTAATTGGATGGCACTGCAAGTATGGGAAACTAGATAAAGCTATTGATTTGTTCAACTGGATGCTTGAACAAGGGCTCTATCCTGATCCAAAGATCTTTGTTGTCATTATTACTCGTCTAGGGGAGCAAGGGAGGTGGGATGTTATAAAGAAAAATTTTGAGAATTTGCAATGCCTAGGACATCATAAGAGTGGTGCTATTTATGCTATTTTGGCTAACATTTATGGACAGTATGGGAAATATCGGGATCCAGAAGATTGTATAAATGCTTTAAAATCAGCCGGTCTCCAACTTTCACCTAGCCTGTTCTGTCTTCTGGCAAATGCCTATGCTCAGCAGGTGAGATTCTACTTTATTTGATAGTACTCTTGATAGTTAAGTACATTAGTATCTGTTTTCAAATATATCAAACTTCTGTTCTTAACATAAGTTTATGGCAACCTTGTCCAGTCATTGATCTTTTCCTTATTATAATATAATAATACTCCCTCTGTCCCATTTACATGTCCTGTTTACTATTCATTGGTCAAACCAACTCTTTCTTCATTGCTTATTTTCTTTAGTAATTTTTAATTATTTTTAAATTTGATTTTTGTGTGTGTGTTTAATAGTACTTTTAATGTAGTTTCTAAATATATAAATTTATATACTAATATTAAACTTAATATTATGAGAAATTGAATTAAAAATGACTTCAGTCAAGTCGGGTTTAACTAGACAAACAAAATGGGACGGAGGAAGTATTATATAATAATGCTATTGAATATTGATATTAAGATAAGTAAACATTATAATACCTCATTCAATCAGTGAAAGGTTGCATAAAGCAATTGTTTTATTATGATTGTTATGATTCTACCTTGAATGTTAAATTTGTGCAGGGGTTATGTGAGCAGACTGTAAAGGTTTTGCAGATCATGGAATCTGATGGCATGGAACCAAACCTTATTATGCTAAATGTCTTGATAAATGCTTTTGGCACTGCTGGCAGGCATATGGAGGCACTCTCCATTTACCATCACATGAAGGAGATAGTAAGCCCATATCTTATGGTTTCCTGACATTTGATCAGCTTCTTTTTACTAATTTTGGTGCTATAATTTCTGAAAGGGTATAAGTCCTGATGTGGTCACATACAGTACCATTATGAAGGCCCTTATGCGGGCAAGGAAATTCGATCAGGTTTGTAAATCTCACTATGCTAAAAGTAATTAACTTTTAACTAACTGTAAAAGGCACAATTACACTTCTATATTGGTAAGTGAACCGTTAGGTAGATTTGTAGTTTTGCTCGGTGGAAAATGTTCTAAAACCTTAAGAATTATACATTCATGCTACAGATCTACATCTAGACTAGAAAACAGATGTATTTGAATCCAGGAGTGTTAGAAACAAACCATAACTATTGACATGTACAGTTACTACAGGATTTTCTTGCTGGTTTTATAAATTCTTGCATGTTGTGCACCAGGTCCCAAAGATATATGGTGAAATGGAATCTGCTGGATGTACACCTGACAGAAAAGCTAGAGAACTGTTGAAGGCTGCAGCAATGGTCCTTCAACAAAGACATCATTAGTTTTCAGTGTAGAAGTTTGTCTGTTGATGGGATCTTGCGTTTCTGTTATTATCTTGTTCATATATGTTGAATTTGAAAGATCCAAAGGCCTGGCGGGTGGAGAATAACAACCATCCGTCAATTAGGGGGAAGCAAAGATGAAGAATCAAGGAATGAGAATATTTATATAATACTGAAATATTACAATATATTACTATAATTATGTGTTTCTAATGAAGAAACATAGTACATATATATATATATATATACAAACACAACTATTAATTTAAACACCTATTCACAGTTTCAAAAAAAAAAAAAAACACATATTCATAAACAGACACAACCCTATAGACAGACATAACCCTTTGTTTTTCAACAATATAGACGGCTGCTTTACAGAGTCACGTGAGGCACATAGGCTCATTATACTATGGTAAAATGCTATATTCCTGTAGACAAACATTTGTCCTTGTTCTTCTATTTATATTGTCATGTTTCCATGAATTATGGAATGGATCTTTATGCTTATTAGTGAGTGATCTCGTACTTTTTCTTTGCTTGCACTTGCAGTATTTCTAAGTTGGCAATTTCTTCATGCCATAGGGGCATAGGGTCAATGAAGATGCTTTGACAATTGGCCCTTAAAATATGTTGCTCTTCTGGTAAAACAAAGTCAAGAATTGCACCTTAGCTTAGCTGCCAGTAATTTTATCAGCTTTGCCATTGATGGAGTTAATCTGGGTTTCAATCACTGCCTGAACTCTGGAGGGACTCTGCAAATAAATTAAGGTAACTTTTCCTGGGCATTAATTGCTTATTGGGGTAGGTGTGATTAACTCTCTTCTAAACTGTATTTTTCAATCCTTTGCTCCTCGCACTTGAGGTACTCAGTTTGGACATGAAGCAGATGAATTAAACATACTGTTTGAGTGGTTTGGTTATTCAAAAAGGAGATGATAACGCATATAGTTCTGACCCAAGGCCGTAACAATTGTGAGAATTCTATATTTAGTGCAAAATCACTAGGACTATTGACATAAAACTCTTTCAAATAGATTTCTGTTGGCAATGTCACGTGTTAAAGAACTGGTTTTTATTTTCTGCTAATGCTAATGGAGTTTAACTAACTTTCTTGAGCTATATGATATCAAGGGAATATGTGTGTGTGGGGGGGGGGGGGGGGGTGGGGTATTTGCCTATTTGGTTTTACAGTAGGAGCCATAATTAGAAATGGAATCAAATGCCAAGCACCTTGTGCTCATATGGCATTTAGTGACCTCTCCCATGTGAGAGCCTCGGTGGAGGCATTGTTGACTCTTTGTGCTTCATTAGGTTGAGAAAGTATGTTTGAACAGATGCTACAATGTAATAGAGTCAGTAGCATTAAAAAAAAAAAAAAAAAAGAAGAAATGGAATCAAATGCTAAATAATGGAATGGGTTTTAGTAAAACAACATACTACACAAAGGGACCCCTCAATCCACTAACAAGGGAAACATAATCCCTATCATCTTTCTGTGGACCATGGCCCAAACAGCTGTGTAGACTATGAATATCTGGTACATTTTTAATATACTAAAAGTACATTATTTGTATATTGAATGTATATTATTTGATAGTAACAAAATAATGTACTTTCAGTACTCAAATAATGTATTTTCCATGAATACAAGGTACATTTTTAATATATTAAAAGTACATTATATGTGTACTGAATGTACATCATTTGATAGTATACAAGATAATGTACTTTCCATGAATATAAGGTACATTTGTAATATATTAAAAATACATTATTTGTGTACTGAATGTACATTATTTAATAGTATACAAAATAATTACTTTCAGTGCTCAAATAATATATCTTATGTACATAAATAATGTATTTTTTTTTTGTGGTCCACACAACTATCCAATAATGATCCCTTTTTGTGTGTTTGGGCTTGAAGAAGAATACATGTAAGTGATATTGGGGGCCTACAAAAGATTGCCTTGCCTTGTGGGATTGTTATTGAAGTGGATATTCCGACGCAAAAACACATTCCACTCGTATAGTTGGTTCTAGTAATGACAATTTTGTCAGATCTTATCTTCTATAAGCACTCATCCAAATTTGTTCTTATCACCTTCTCCTAAACCTTTTTCAAGCTGAATTTGTATTATTATATTCTGATAAAGAGGAATTAACAATATTGCAGGGGTCTTGGAAGAATTTCATCATCATAGATAGCAGCTGTTAAGATCATTACAATACCATAATGAATAGGGTCCTTAGAACTAATGTATACAGCAAATCTTTTCCCTATTCATTGGATATATTTTATTTATTTATAATTGGGAAAGAATATATATGTTTTCTTCTTCTCCCAAATACTGTCTACAGAACCTTGAGCTAAGTCTGTGCAGCAATATATATGTTTTCTAGAAGGCAGAATGGGGTGGTTTCTCCAAATCCTCGAGGGGACGGAAGAAGGCTTTCATCTCCAAGACTGAGTGACCAGCGCTTGAAGCCACGGTGTGGAAGTCAGCAGCAGTAAGAGTGTGATTGGTGGGTGGCCCAAACACCCCAGTTTGTGGGTGAGGAGTCCAGTACTTGGCAGATTGGTTTTGGATTACTTCGTCCGGGACAATTGATGGATAATGAACATGTTCTTCTGGGTTCTTGTCATACATAGACATATGCACAGCCCTCCTGCACAAACAAGTTCAGGTAAACACATTAGTTTTCACTCACTAATTATGTATTTATAGCCAAGCACCTTATGGCATGATGGCATCAGGGTTGCTTTCTATAAGGAAGGATGCAGCCTTGCAGGTTCAAATCCCATGCCAATTTAAGAATAGCAAAATTGTTGAACAAATATTATGAACAGGTTATATAATTTGTTGGGTTGATCAGTGAAACAGATACAAAAGTATCAATCAGTATGTTTGAGGAACAAATAAGCAAGAATTGCAACTACTACTTTTGTCTACGAGAAGTTCCTTTCAATGGTGTCTATAGCTAAAACAACAATCAATAGACATTGCCATTCCCATAATATAATAGATTGCAGGCAAAACCATCATTGCTTCAAAAAGCATAATGTCCATATTGATTTGCCGGTAAGGGATATTTAATGTTGGTTGAAAGTGACATAAATATGACATTAGTAAATACTCTCTCCATCAGCTGGACTGAAATTATTTATAATTTATTTTTGAGCAAATTACACTTTTGGTCCTGTGACTATAGGGGGTGTGTTAATTTGGGTACGTGACTTTTAAAATTAACAATTTAGTCCTTTAACTATTATTTTTTTAGCAGATTTGGTCCTCCCGGCCAAATTGCCGGTGGAATTTGGCCGGAAAGACGTTTGACTTTTTAAATCAAATATTGGTGGGTGTAATTCGGTCTTTTTAATTGTTAAAAAATAGCGCGAAATTGGTTTAAAAAATAATTGGATTTGAAATTAGGTTCGTTCTTCGTGTTCTTCGCATATCACCGGGTAATAAATATAATTTGCAGCTATTTTTAACAATTAAAAAGAGCGAATTACCCCCACCAATATTTGATTTAAAAAGTCGAACGTCTTTCCGGCCAAATTCCACCGGCAATTTGGCCGGAGGACCAAATCTGCTAAAAAAATGATAGTTAAAGGACTAAATTGTTAGTTTTAAAAGTCACGTACCCAAATTAACACACCCCCTATAGTCACAGGACCAAAAGTGTAATTTGCTCTTTATTTTTATTCATAATATTAAATTTAAAATTAGTATGTAAAATTTATATATTTAAAAACTACATTAAAAATGTTATTAAACACAAAAAATTAAATTTAAAAATTTTTATAAGTAAATAGTGATGAAAACAAACAAAGAAAAAAAAAGTTAGTTTAATAAATGAATAATAAGTAGAAAAAATAAAATTGGGCTATTTGGACATCTCCTTCATTTTGTAGCAGTTCCCTAATTAGAAGGTTTTCTTGATTACCAAAAGAAAATCAAATAGCCACCAGTAAATTTTAACAACAAGAAGTCCCCTTGTAAATCTAAAGAGATCATTAGATCAACACCAAACTCCAAATCCTAACAATTAAATTAGAGTTAATTATTGAAATAGTCCCTTAACTATAACAAAATTATTGATCTTTGACTATTTTTTATCCAATTAAGTCACCTAACTTTAAAAACCTTAATCAATTTGGTCCTCTGTTTGTTTTGACGGGATCAAATTGGTCATTTGGTATATTTAAGGGATTATCTTAGTAATTAACTTTTTGAAGAAAAAAGAGCATTTGATGATTGAAATTGTCCATCGACTATAACAAAATTATTAATTTGATATATCAAATTATTTCATTGTACTTGTTTTATCTGGAAAGCATCTGCCGGTGAAAATTTGTTGTCATGCCCAAACTATTCTTCAGACGAAACCATAAACCAGAAAAATATTGTTCGCATAAGAGAAATCGGCTATTACTAGAATATATATATATATATATATATATATATATATATATATATATATATATATATATATATATATATATATATTCAAACAGGTGCATATAAACGTATGTAAGCATGTATTACGAACAATGAAATGTATATATACCTATGAGAGATGAGGGAAGGAGAGGGAGCAGCTTTGCGAGTGCTGGAGCTGACGATGCTGAGAAATTGCTTGGCAATTCCACGGCACTGCAAATTGGCGGCCATTAAATACAGTTTTCTTTGAGAAATAGAGAGAGAGAGACAGTAGCAGTTGGTAGTTGTAGAGAGAGAAAATGCAAAGCAACTAAAAAAGAGATACGAAACAAGTTCCGTCTTGGGATATTCAGAGCCTTTGCTCGAAACTCCCTCCTTTTTATAGTTTGTTTTGGGTGACGATACAATTACCCTCCAATCTCGAGTCAGCACTTACTCAGCTGTCCGTCAAAAAGTTGAGCCGCCGTCACGATGGCTGCCGTTAACTAACGGAACGTCTCTGGATTAATTGAGGTTGGCTTGACTGCAAGTTTGACAAACTTATAGTTTAAAATTGACTGTATTTATTTTATTATTCTTTTTGTTGATCTTAAATTAGTTTTATAAATGCGACAGTTGTTCGAGAATCAGATTATAAGGTTCTGATGTTTTTTTTTTTTTTTTTTTTTTTTTAATGTTAATTTCATTTTTGTCATAGATTATAAGGCTGGATTATTCCAGCCAATATGACCCTTTGCAAAATGATGTGGCAAATGCCACATCATTTGTATATTTTTTTAAAATATGAATTGGGTTTGCATGTGCAAATTTGCAAACCCCTTTTGTATTTTGTATTTTTTATTTTTATTTTGTTTTTTTACTTTTTGATATTTTAATATAATTTATAATGTTATTTTAATTTGTAGAGATGTAGTGTGAATAATAGATGATTTGCAAATGAGATGATGTGGAAGTGAAATCCATTTTTAAGAGTGTGAGAAATTTGCAGACATTATCTGTTGAGGATATTAGGGGGAGAATGTAAGAGTGATTAAGAAAGAGAATGTGGGAGGGGAGAGAAAAAAAGAAAAAAGAAAATAACAAAACTAAAATTGAAAAAAAATAATAATAAAAAACTGAAGCGTCAGGCGCGTTGACAAAGCGCCTGACGCACCACACGGGCGCATGCAAACCAAACTTCGAACCACGCCGTCGCCTCCAGTATTCCGGCGACGTCTTTGGAACGTAGGCTTGTCGAATATTGCAACGACGGAGGACAAGGGCCGGAGGACGTGGGCGGAGTTCGTTGGGCGGAGGACGTAGAGCGTCGATCGTCCGTGTAGTAGTGTGTCAAACACGGATGTTGGAGTAGAAACAATTGTGCAACCTAGAGGCAAAACCCTATTTAAGGAATCAAATTCTAAATTAAGCCCCAAAAATCTGGAAGGCTTTTACTATTCAAATCCCTAAAATACCACTACCTTAATTAATTTATTCAAATCCACGGTCAAAAAATGAAATTAGAAAAAAAAAACCTTTTTATATATACCATTAATCTCAAGATTCTAACTGCCCAGATTTGTCCACACGAACTCATTAGAAAAGATGGATTCATTTGATCATAAGCTTATATATACTCATGTTAAGTACATAAACCACGCACCTTAAGCATAGAACAAAGCACATTAAGCACAAAACCCACGCAACTAAAATTTTAAAATGGTAAAAAATGTGCACTTGAAGGCAAATAGATGTGCAATTGATGCAATTTATGATACCAAAAAGGGAGATTATTCAACTTAAGTGTTATTAAGCCAATTACCCATACAAATCGTTTGTAAATCTCACAAATTTCATTAGAAATTTAGTTATATGTTTGAAAAGAATGCACAAGATACAATAAATATTGCCCACAAGTTGTGCACTTGAAGACAAAAAATCTGCACCGAAGGAAAAAAAGGGGAAATTAATTATGCACTCTTAGAAAGGAAACCATGCACTTGAAGGCTACAAACGTGCACTTGAAGGCCAAAAGATTTGTAATCAAAGGTACAAAAATGTGCAGTCAAAATAGAAACTAAGTACTGAAATAAAAGTGATGCACTCGAAGAAGAAAAAGTATGTACTCGAAGAAGGAAAAATGTGCACTCGAAGAAGGACAAATGTGCACTTGAAAACAAAACAAAAGCTGACTTATTTGCTCAAAATTACAAGAATGTCACCGCGCGTTTTTAATTAAGATTCAATTTAGGTTGTTGATTTGGATTGCATCTAAGGCTAGAAATCATCCATATTTTTTTACTTGTAGTGATTTTTTTTTTTTTATTTCATCCCCATCATATATATATATATATATATATATATATATATATATATATAGAGAGAGAGAGAGAGAGAGAGAGAGAGAGAGAGAGAGAATTACATTCATGTAAAAACATGACTTAAAATACAAATATGTGGACATTTCTAGATCGTTGGATGTTGGGTATCTAAGGTTGTGATTAGTTTTTATGATTTTGTGTGCTGCCCGCCTGTGTGCACTGTCGTTCATGGATATGTGCACGCCGGCCCAAATGTTGTGGATTCACACATGCATACTATATTGGATGTGTGCATTGTCGTCCACGGATGTGTGCACACCCGCATTTAGGTGTGTGCATGGCATATATCCACATGTTTGTATTTTAAAGGTGTTTGCATGTGAATGCATCTCTCTCCCTCTCTCTCTCTCTCTCTCTCTCTATATATATATATATATATATATATATATATATATATATATATTTATTTATTTATTTGTTGACGTTAAAGTATTTTTTTTGAAAACGTTGACGTTAAAGAATTTAATTATATACATACATTGAAAGTAAATTCCATTAACATAGATAGGTTGAATTGCTTAGCTCAAAAGCCCTGATTATCCAGTCATGGTCCACAACGGCGTTAAGTCAGAGAGATTTTATATTATTCTTAATTGGGCATCACATGCATGTGATTCAATAGTCTACCAGTAAGATCCCATGTATATTCTAGCTTGCCTCTTTAGAAAATTAGCGGTATGCTGTGTGCGCCACTCACAATTAGGTTGCTCATTTATAACATTTTTATGCACTTCTAATGTGCAACAATTTTTATTTTATAAAAAATAAAAATATTTTAGTTATATTAACTCATAAAAAGAATATGATTGTAAAAGATATTGAAAAAACTCTTAATTTAGGCACTATCGGAATTGCCAAGTGTACTTAATTGGTTTACTTTTTACAATAAAAAAAACAAAAAAAATATTACTCCTTTAAAATTATTTTAATTGTTTAATATCTAACTTTTATAATTATTTTATAACTAATATTTGTTGGATTAACGTAAGTACAAAGTCTAATATCATTTAATTAATAAATACTCAACAATCATAATTATTAATTAATATGATTAAAATATAAAATTCCACCTTTGGAGTGCCAATAATATAATTAATTCTCACCTAAACACTGCAAATTGTACCGGGAACTGCCGAACTGGAGTGTGGGATAGGCCAATAAATAAACGATTATTGGTGGTCAAAGTTGTTATCCTGTTCGTCCTATAAAAAAATTAAAAAGAAAATGAAAAGAATAAATCGCATTATTGGGACGGCTTAAAGCAACTAAGTTTGATGTCATGCGGAACGTTATGACCTGTTTGACATCCTATAATAAGAGTTGAAATGAGTTTTTTTGCATTTTTGGTCCCATGATTATAGTGATACTATCAAGATTGATCCGCGACTTTTAAATCTTGCAATTTTAGTCCATAATTATTGTTTTTGTTGCAAAAATGGTCCTTCCAGCCAAATTTTGGTCAAAATCTCACCGAATATATATATATATATATATATATATATATATATATATATATATATATATTTTCATTTCAAGCAAGAATAAAATAGATATTTACATTGATCTTGCAATTTCGGACCGCTGTTGACCTCTTATTATGATCAAAGTACGAAATCGGCCACTTCCGCGGCCACCTCTACGGGTGAACCGGCGATTAAATTTTATTTTTTTTTTAATTTTTTTTTATTTTTAAGTTGTAATATTTCAAAACTTCGGCACGGCATAACTTTTGACTCAGTTGTCCGTTTTGGACAAATGTTTTTTTGAAATCGCGTATTTTTTCGAGATCTATCCACCGCAAACTGCCGTAGGTGGTTTGGCCCACCAATTTCTAAAAAAATGCTTTATTAAATAGTTTCTAAGAAAAAACTATAAGAACATTATATTTTATTAATGAATTTTTAAAATTTTTTATTAAAAAATTATCCCGTGCATTATTTAATAATCTTTCTTTATAATTGGTCAAATTATTTAATTATGGTAAATTAGGGAATAATTATTGATGGTAATCGAAATCCTAGAAGAATATAGAATTGAAGAATATGTAATTATTGTTATATTATTATTGTGACTCACGGAATACAATACAAGAATATTTAATTATGATTATATTATTATTGTGTGCCTCACGGCCATTATATACTAACAGAACTTGAAAAGAAACTAATAATAATAATATAAGTGGTAATAATAATATCTAAAAGTAATTAAGTGTTAATAATAATAGTATGAATATTAACTTAACAATTATAACATAGAATAAATCGTAATAATTAATAACTATAGTCTAGGATTAAATTTGGAATTGTCAGGAAAGATATGCGACCTCTGGTGAAATTAACTCTTAAATAATTATTTATCGATTTAAATATTCTTAATATATTACAATAATTCCATTCCGTGCATCACACGGGTGAAAATACTAGTTATTATAAAAATAATTTATTTTTGTAATATATTTATTAAAATTTTATTTAAAAATATAATAAAGAAATATTAAAGATGAACTTACCTACAAACTACATGTATGCTATGTTCCATATCACTTTTTATAATAAAGAAAGAATAACCTTAAGTAGTTCGAGTTATCGGGCTAGCCCATCAAATTTTGAGCTAGCTCGTACGGGCCACCAGACTTATTGGTTTCGGACTTATCAGGCTAGCCCGTTCAAGCCATTAACTCGTCGGTTTTGGTTTATCGGGCCAGCTCATCAGGTTCGGCTTAAGATTGACATCCCTAGTTTGATCCTCGCTCATTATATTATCAATGCTTCGAATTCTGAGAGAACCATTTGTAATTTAGATGGTTTTACGTCTTCTTTGCCTTCAAATCTAGTTTGGAGGATCTCCTATGCCTTAATGATACCTGCAATAAGAGTAAATATAGATTTGCGAAGAGAGTGCATAATAGAGTTCAACGCTTTGTTGCTAAAGCCATTCACCACTTATTCTGGTTTAGTCCATTCCTCCTCAGGTCTATAGTTGAATATGCCGTAAACGTAAAACAAATGACGATGTGAAATAAAATGGACACAATTTGTTGACCCAATTCGATGCAACCAACATCTACTTTTGGGGGACTATCAACGTTGAATTCAGTGCGCTATATCAAGTAGTGTTCAAATAGACAATAAGAAAAACGATATCACCAGTATGTGATACACCTTATAATGTATAGTATCCACTCTATAAACACTATAAATGGGTTGATGAAGCTCAGAGATCTTCACAGCAACATTCCTACTTTCTGATTCACCTACTACTGCACCACAACTAACATGAAATATAGTCCAAGATGTGATAAAATCGCCAATGCATTTATCTCAAAATCAGTTTAGATCAATAATGTTGAAGATGAATAGATGACCCGTCTTGAGAGAGAATTCAAAGTATTTGTTCTTGTAAAAATAGTAGAGCGAGACAATATTTCAATAAATGTATATACGCATATCTTAAAACCAACTTCTCTCTCTATATTTACTCTAATTTGGTTAGAGTAAAATCTAGATATTTCCATTTAATTAAATTTACTCTTACACCCTTGAGACTAGCTTGAGATATTATCCATTGACATCTCTCAACTAATTTTAACAAACTTGTAAATTGCCTAAAAAACGGTTATCTCCTTGGCAGTGGTAAAATTGACTCACGATATAGATTTCGGATACAATTATCGCATATTCGCATGTTATGTTCTAGCAGATCTTCGATCATCAGTCACGAACCAACTAAGGCCTTGTTTGGTAAAAAATTTAGCCTATAGATCAATTTTAGCTTATTTGACCATTATTAATTGTTTGATTTAGTTAAAATATTAATATAAATGTTTGGTTAATTAGCTTTTTGCAACTCCAAAATGTTAAAATTCAAAAAGCTATTCCAAGCAACTTTTTTAATTAGCTTTTTTAAAAAAAAAAAATTTATACAAAACAGCTATCAGCTAACAACTAATTTATCAAACATTTTTCTACAAACAGCTAATGTTATCAACTAGTTATACCCTCTAATTAACACAATCACCTAACAGCCATTTACCAAACAACATTTATGTTTTTTTTTTTTTTTTTTTTTGAAAACCAGCTATGCTAATTCTTAATCTAATGTTGCCATAATAATCATCTAATTACATAACTAGTGTTTAGACAAGAAATACGTACTAATATATAAATTCCACTAATACTTTAGCTACGTGTCCTGTTCTATATATTAGTTAGAAGAAATGAAAAAGAAAACAAATTGTTTAGTCAATCAAAACTTGTCATGGATGCCAATTAACACAATAAAAAGTGATAATAAATACAGTTTATTCATTTGACATCGTATAACAGCTTAGTTACGAATATTATATTTTAATTAATCTACCGTCAGCCTCAGAAATCGACATAATCGAGTACATGCACGGTACAATAGATTTTTTTTTATTTAATTTTGTAATTAGTTTATCTTCAAACAAAAGAAGTGACGGCAGACTGATAGGTATGTCCGGGCTGCCAATCGGCCGGAATGACGTTGTCGGCGACGAGAGTATTGCCAGATTCGTCGGTGAGTCTGAGGGAGAAGGGCGCTGTTAGTCCGGAGGTGTCTTGAAGCTTCCACACTGCACCCCAAAACTGTTGCATGGAAAGCCATGAATCTGGTGAGGCCGAAGCTTGCTTCAGTTCTACAGTGCTCAGGGTTCCGTCGCCATTTACATATTCAATCAGAGTTTCAAAATAGTAGGGGCTCGAACCAGGTCGCACGCCAAAGCTCAGTGCTACTCCCGGATAGTTGCATTCAACTCTGTATGTCAAGTGTAGTGTGCACACAATAATTAATATATATATATATATATATATAAAGTCCGTAAGGGTCAAGTCAAACACCATGTGACTAAAAGATTGTTGGACGGAGACGGGTAAATAGTCAAATTGGATTTTTGCTCTCGAAAATGTATAACAGTATAAGGAAATAAAGTTGGGGCTTCTAAATGAACTATCCTAGCTAGACAATACAAATTAACAACCTTCGATATTGGACGTTCAGCATCATGTGGTTAGAGGTAAGGATTGTTGGGCGGAAATTGGTAAATGATCAAATTTAGTACCATTACTTTCAAAAATGTGTGGCAGTATAGAAAAATAAAATAGGGTCTTCGCTATTGGTTATAGTTTTTGGCGTGGTAAGTAATTGGATTCTAACAAACGGTATAAGAGGTAGGTCAGGTGCTTGTGCTAAGAGGAGATTGTGCGACGGTATAAGGAAATATAGTTGTAAGCACTTTATCCAAATAAACTAGACAATACAAATTAACAACCTTCTATACTGGACGTTGAGTACTCCGGCGGTTCGGAGCTGATTGGCATTGCCAGGAATTGCCATGGCTACAAAAGCAGTGTCACTCATATCAAAATGAACTGGTTGTGATTCACACCCGCCCGGACACGAATCTGTTATAACTATGGTGACCGGATTTCCCGAGCATGCTGCATTTTCAGTACACTTTACCTGCAAAACCCAAAGAGAATGATATATATGATTAATATTTTCCACCAATAATTCAAATTCACGCAAACACTTACTACAATCTTAAAGAAACTTAGTAAATTATTAGGGGAATACAAAGTTGCCAGTGGGATTATATATTTATATTAATATATAGGTTGACCTCATAACAAGCTCCACATCCTTTCCCAGATTTGAATAGAGAAGGACCACCAGCTGATACTAAGGAAGAGAATGGTGGCTGCACTACACTGCTTGCGTATCCACATGCTCCACCTATTCACATAACGATATTTACTTTTTCAGACAAATATTCTTAGCTGAACTGAAAACATAACATGGGAATCTAAGTGCATAGAATATACTATGTTAATTATATTCATACAATCTAGATGACTTGGAGAACCTTTAGTTGTCACGTTCTCACCTAAGGAATGATTCTCACATAATCCTCTATATATATATATATATGTGTGTGTGCGCGCGCGCGTGTTCTTGTTCAGTTCTAGCTTTCTTTTACGTACCAGTAATTCCAACACCATTGGGCTCACCATACTTTGTGGCGCCGGCAGGGGACCAGTCGGGATCCGATTGGGTAAAGTTCTTATGGTTGATGCAAGAGCAAGAAATGGCAAGAGTAGAAAAGAGTAAGAAATATGTAATGAAATGAGGCATAATGATTACTTATACTTGCAAAACTAAATCACTATGCCTATTATACTTTTTAATGAAGTTGCGCTTGATGGATGAACATGCTGCATGTAGCATGTGCTTTTTATAGAGGAATGGGAGGGCTATATTTGTCATTGCAAAACAATTCTTTGAGTTCTACCTTCTAAAATATCGGTTTTAGAATTTTTGGATTTTAACTGCAACTTGCATTGATGCATTTTTTTTTTCTCTCTGAAATTTGATTTACATGACAAGATTTGAGCATGAGATTTCTTATTAAATTAAATAAAGAAATTGGGTATCATGAGTGTTAAAAAAAATGGGTATCAACTTGATCTCATGAATGTTATCTTATTTTGATTGATCAAATTCAATAAAATAATTAAGTTGGTGAAAATCTAAATGGTACTAAAGAAACCCTAAAAAAAGGGTGTTTTGATAGTACTGCATTATTCTCCAATCAACTTTCAAGAGTAACAAATGTTCAGAAGAAGGATTTTATTTGAATTAAGTTTCCGCAAAAAAGGGGCATTATGATATTGAAGTTTTGGCGTGTCAAATAAATGGAAGCTCTCAGTTAAGAGTTAAGACACTTGAAGAAACTAGACAAATTAAAACCATGTCAATATGTCATAAGTTCGGACTGAACTTAACCAGTCAATATCGTAACGTGCAAGCCTGAGAGTTTCCCTTATTTGACACGCCAAAACTTTGTGAGAAAATAAATGAGTCAATTCCCTTAAAGGCACCTTGTTTTTAATGGAAATTTTAAATTTAGTCTCAAACTATCGTTTTTGTCATTTTACATCTTAGACTATTATTTTTTGAACACTTTTACTCATTCTCATGATTTTTCCAATTTTTTGGTAAGGGAATTTGTGTCTTTTCATATTTTTCTTTTGTTATTTTTAATTTCTTGTTTCAATCAGTTTAATTGGTCTAGATCTTTAGGTAACCTCTGAATTTTAGTAATCATACTTTTCAACTGGTTTTAGTAAAGTCCTAAACCAATTAAACTGGTTGAAACTGGAAAAATAACAAAAAGAAAAATATGAAGGAGCAAAAATGCTCTTACTAAAAATAGGAAAAGTCATGAGAATGACTAAAAGTGTCCAAAAAATAATAGTTTGAGATATTAAATGACAAAAACGATAGTCTCGGACTAAATTTAAAATTGTCACAAAAAACAAAGGACCTCTGGTGGAATTAACTCAAAATAAATTATAGGAGAAAAACCGGTTGGCACACCAGAAAAGCATAAAAGAAGAAAATCGAGAAAAAAATGAAGAGACAAATATAATAGTTTGGGTGTTAAATGACAAAAACAATAATCTAAAACTAAACGTGAATTTGCCACAAAAGACCAGTTCTTAAAATTTGCTAAGTGATACCAATTTCTTCTTCCAAAAGGAAGAACCCCAACCCTGGTCCGACAAAGCATAAGCATTTGGGAGGATATAAATCACTTTGAGAAGTTGCTCCCACACTGCGACTGGTGAGACTCGATCCTTGGTCATTCTTTCAAAATTTCACCTCTATGACCAGTTGAGCTACCCATGCGGGCAATGATACCAACTTCTTGTTGCTTATTATGGTGGAGTGGAGTGATAATCTAAAACTATAATAAGTTTCAATTTCAACTTATATCTTTGATTTATGTCTGTTTTTTGTATGCTAATAAAGGTATACATTTTTACTTTAAATGTTGTACAATTCAATATTATGTTTTATGTATGTTAATAGATGTATACATTTTAATTTAAATGTTGTACATTTTAATATTACTAGACAAAATTATCCCTAATACATTCTTATTAGACAAAACAACCCTTACACCGTTATAACTCCATTACTATTTAATTCTTACATTAGTGACTCCATCATTATTACCATACACTTATATCGATAATTCTATTATTTAATTACGGAGTATCATTTTATTAAAATTATTATATAATTAATTGGCTAAAGTGTCATTCCGCACCATGAACTATATCGGATTGTTCATGCCGCACAATGGTCTTTCATAACATATATTTCGAGCCATTTACTATCATTTTTTTTTCGTCTAGCATTTTTTGCAGGTTTTCAGGTTAATATGATGACATGGCACAGGTTATTAGCTGATGTGGTGCTTATTTATACTTATAACGTATTTCTTACCGAGTGGAGCCTGCCAGCGATCAAGTCAGCCCTCATGACGACGGCCTACGCCCAAGATAATACCAACTCTCTGGTCCTCATCTACGCCATCTACCTTTCCCAATACATCAGATTCCTCTGCTCCATAGACTACGCCGCCGAGCACATTCAGGCCGTTGTCAAGAGACCAAACATCACCTGCGACAAGAAATTCGCATATCCCGTCTAGCTCAACTACCCTTCATTCTCAATACCCTTCATTCGCAAATGATTTTGTATACATATAAACTATCTACATATGATATTTCACACGTATTAGTGGGTTACCAGCATCATTCGCTGACTGGGAGTCGTCCCATATATATATATATATATATATATATATATATATATATATATATATATATATATATATATATATATATATATATCTGTGTTTCTTTCAGGTGCTAATTAGATGAGGGCGCGGTCTAGAAGCTATTAGAGTAGATCCCCTTTTCTTTATGATGATTTGGGCATGCGTGCCTTTGATTAGACTTTAGACGTTATGTCGTTGACTTTGCTTTTGAGATTGATAGATTATGTTGCAGATGTTTACGCCTGTGCGTTCACCGTTGTGTGAGCGTGGCATGACACTCTACGTTTTCCATCTATTTCATATCTAGTCTTCCACTGTGTATGTTTTATGGTTAGTTTATCTGCATGTTTAAGGTTAAATTTGGTATGGAAATCGGGGGTGTTACACCAGGAGTTGAGGAGCTGCAAGTCATGACAACAATTTCAAACCGGCCCGGGTCGGCCCTCCACGAATTACATCCCTATCAGCTCGGTGATCCCCTTCTCAAGGTGGGGGGTGGACATAGTGGGAGCCCTACCTATGGGTCAGCAGGCGGGGCCTGGGTGGAGGAGTTAGACGCCATCCTACGGGCGTACTGCACCACTGTTGGTCCCGATAGGGTGGTGAAAGTCTAGAGGGGGGGGGGTGGTGAATAGACTTTCAAACTTTTTCAAAATAAATAACTCTTTGGTAACTTCAACTCTAAGTAACAAGTAAATAGAGTGAGTTTGAACTGCACAGCGGAATAATAGTATGTAAAGAGTTATGCCCAATCAATAATTTAAATCACATGCGTATGTAAGATGGATACAGATGATATGTAAAGTGACAAAGGTATCTTGAATATATAAAGGAGATGGTTCACTCAATATTTAACAATAATATTCAAGATTGTAAATAAGATGTCGTGTCACGTCGACCATGTGACGAATGTCACATGCAACACGTCAAACTGGCTTAGAATAATTCAATATTTAAGCTTGGAAAGTTTGAGTCACATGCATACGTGAAAACACACTAAACCCGAAAGATTAAGATTAACTGTGAATAGTAAACGGGTTAGTCGGATAAGATAGATAGATAGAGCAAATTATGTAAGTGCGGTATGTAAATGAGAGAGACAATTTATAGTGGTTCGGAAGTGGCGTAATCTTCCTAGTCCACTTTACTCCATTCACTTCTAGGAGTAATTCACTATTTTCCACACACAGTTACAATAGTGAATAAGCGCTACACAAGCACTTCTTCCGGATGTCTTGCACACAGCTACACCCAACTCCGAGTGTCTCGCACACAGCTACACTCAACTCCGAGTATTTCGCACACAGCTATACTCAACGCCAACTAAGTGTTTTGCACACAGCTACACTTAGCAACTACGAGTGTTTTGCACACAGCTACACTCACTAGAGTATTTTGCACACAACTATACTCTTTTTACAATTACAAATACAAAGGTAATTGTGTTGGTCCCAAAAGAGGTAAGGTGAAAGTCTAGAGGGGGGGGGGGGTGAATAGACTTTCAAACTTTTTCGCACAGCACAACAATTGCTAAGCCAGAGATAAACCAAAACTCTTAACTAGATTGTTAGAGTACGGTGCACAACGGAAATAAATAAACATAAAGTGTGTGTAAGATTGTGTGCGCAATATATCTCGTGTAGAGCGAATATGTAAAGAGCAGTAAGTAAAGAAAGCAGTAAAGAACACAAGACAATTATAGTGGTTCGCGAGGTGGTGTAATCCTCCTACTCCACTTGCTCTTATCTCCAAGAGCAATTCACTATATCTACCACTCCTTGGTTCCAAGATAAAATGAATTTCCGTGATCTAGTGCTTTGATCACAAAGCCCGCACTAATCACGCCCAGTGACACCACACTGCTGCTTCGGGTTTCACTTCGCCGCGCTACTATCCCAGGATTTCACGACTCCGCGTTACTTTCCCCCCGTCTTCCACACTCCGGTAGAAACGTATCCCGTGATATAGTGCTTTGATCACAAAGCCCGCACTAATCACGCCCAGTGCCTCCGACACTGCTGCTTCGGATCTCACAGCTCCGTGTGACAATCCAGGATTTCACAGCTCCATGCTACTTTCCTCCCTTCTCTTGTTTTGCTCCAAAACAAGTGTTATCTTGCTTCCAACTTCTGAGACTCTGTAGATGATCTTCAATGATGCGCAGGTCTCTTTGATGAAGATAAACACTCTGGAATGATTTCTCTTGATAGTTCTGAGTGTTTTCTCTCTTTGAATGTATCAAGTAAAGCACTTGATATTTTTGCTCTGTTTTGCTCTGTTTAAGAACTCAGAATATTTCTCTTGAAACTCTCTGAGTTCTTTTTCTTTTCTCACTTCTCGCTTGAAGATTTTTGGTATGCTCTGTACCAAATGAGATTTTTGCTCTATGCTCTTTTAAGCTTAATTGCTCTATTCGTTCCCCTTGATGGGTTCGTATTTTCTGCTCTCTTGTTCGTGAGTTCGTTGTCTTCAAGTCTTCATATTTTCATCATTTTATAGCTGGTAATGAGAATCTGTCTGTTGGAAAGAGACACTCTCATTTTTTAAATCTTGTATCTTTTTGTCAGAGATCTTATCTTATCTTCTGCAA